ATATTAGTGATACAATTTACAATAGTCTACATGGTTTACAAGTCTAAATTGTCTACGCAACAAAAAGACCATGTAAACATCACGTAAATAATCCGTGTAGACGTAACCTTGAAATCGACGGCACAACCCTGGTTATAGGTTAGGTCAGGTTACCTTCGGGCCATCGCACTTCTCCAGCAGGCAAAGCAATCGCTTCCTCGCCTGTTCCTGAATCAGCCCGACGTTCAGTCTACCTCCCGTCAAATACGACATGATTGTTTCGTAAAAAAATCTCACGACGTACCGACCGTACGCAACATCATTCGAGAGAGCCTGAGGAAGGATCGCTTTGACAGGTGCAGACGACGGATCGTGTTGACGCGCTGCCTCTCGATAGTCTCGATACAGTTTCGATAGTCGGGAGTCGCACTAATATCGATCTTCGATATATTTCTCCTCGGCCGACCACCGCGGCGTCGGTGTCGCCGCAGTTGCGGAACGCGTCGCGATGGATCGTGCGTTCAAAATAAAGGCAATATGTATTTCTCGCGAATGTCATCGTCTGCCGAGTGAATCGCTTGCGCGAAAGGCTCCCGCGAGCGTCTCGTAAATCAGGTATCGCCAGAGAGTTAAGCGTCCGATGTCATTCGTTGTAGCGCGATAAACACGTACGGCGGTCACCGCGACGATCGAATTCAGCGTCGGCGATCCGCCGTTTCCGTGCGGCCCCGAAGTTACGAACGATCGAGGCCCCCCGTTCGTTTTTTTGGAATGCATCGAATTTCGAAAGTGCAATTGGGTTTAATCATCATATTGTATGTATATAGTTACGATGTTTACGAATATCTCCGTTCTGTCGATTATACACGCTTCAATTCAACGCACATTCGTTAAAATATCTCGAATTTCATTTTTCGCATCAGCGCGGCTCCGCTCAGCTTTTATAATAGTCGCACACGTACGTGTGTTTTTGCACCCATTTCCTCCGCTCTTTCTCTCTCAAAGGATATAAAACTCATTTTGCGTATAATGCACATGTAACTAAAATGTAATAGACCTAATTATACGGCGTGCGAAGCATAAGCTAATGCGATTAAGCGTGCTACCTCGACTGTCGGTAACAGGTACGCACGATTTCGAGGTTATCCTGTGCGTTATCCTGTATATGCACTAGAAATTTGCAAGTGTATCGGATTAAATTCAGGGGATGTGTCATACATATTTAAATATTCACGTATCATGACTGCTGGTTATTCAATAATAATTAATTCTTCATACTAATACACACACACGCACGCACAAACACATATGCACGCACGCACCATCCACACACACACGCGCGCGCGCACACGCACACGCACGCATATAATAAAATATAAATATTTTTATAATCTTAAATATATTGTTATATGAAAAATTAAATGTATTAAATTATTACCGACAGTCAGGATGCGCGTGGATATTCATAGTTGCGAAGCATGCGTCGCGAACGTGCCTCCCCAGTACTACGCGCGCAATTTCATTGCATTATATGACGCCACGAACGATTCCGTGTCGTTGCGTATAACGAGATCGCGATATCGCTCGCCGATAGATTTCGCGCCGCTGTCCGTCACGGATGTGAGTCGCGCCGGATTACGGGCTCGCCTTCGACACCGTCCGCGCACATTTCGCGATTGTTATATCGCTCGACCGTATAGCGAGTCTCACTTGCGAGGGAATTATATGTAGATATCGCGCGCGAAAGCCTCGTAAAATCCGTCGATCCGTCGTATAGCGCGTTAAACGTCGCGTGCAGTTGCCTGCATTATACGCCAATCTCGTGAGTGCGGCGATCAGCATCCGCGCGGCGTGCGCATGGAATCGATCGAGATCGAGATCCTCGCCCTCGTCGACGTCGTGCTGTGCTTTCTCACCGAGGTGCATCACGAGTGCGATGGACGTGCGATTATCGTCAGGTACATGTGCACGCATGTCTTTTTTTTTTTAAGTAATTTAATTTGTTGTATCGCACGTCGCGTGCAGTTGCCACTCGTTTCCAGCTGGAATTCTAAATATTACACTTAAATTACATCGTTGTTTTTTTGTATCTGCTAAAAAATTGTCTGTCATACGTATAGAATTTATAGCAGCAATATTCTTAGAATATATACAAGAAAATATTGATCTCATAACCAAATATGATTGGAGTCTGGATTGGAGTCTGGACTGATTAAACGTCATAGAAGGACTTTCTTGCTAAATTTGACAAATTTGAAAAAGTTCAGATATAATTTCTGCCTCTATATTATCTATATTGATTAAATACTAAACATATATGTGGTATCGCAGTGCTTATACTAATCACTTATCCGTTTTAGCTAATTTTTCGCACCTAAATAATTCTCGCTATAATTGCAAGACTTATTTTTTTTTCAGTGTGCCGTCATACATTAATCTCGGTGATTGCAGCGATCAGCATCCGTGCGCATGGAATTGATCGAGATCGAGATCCTCTGATCCTCGTCGACGTCGTGCTGCTTTCTCAGCGAGGTGCACCACGAGCGCGATGAACGTGCGATTATCATCAGGTATGTGCGCGCATGTCTTTTTCTGCAATTTGTTGTATCACGTCGCTTACAGTTGTCGTTATACACCAATTTCGTGATTGCAGCGATCATCTGCATCCGTGTACATGGAATTGATCGAGATCGAGATTTTCTCTTCGTCGGCGTCGTGCTGTTTTCTCAGCGAAGTGCATCACGAGTGCGATGAACGTGCGATTATCTGCACCAGGTATGTGCACGCATGTCCTCTTTTTTGTAATTTGTTGTATCGAACGCACGCAATTATTAGGCGAGTGATCGCGAAAGTTATATCGTCTTCAAATTTCGTGGCGTTTCACATATCAACGTTAAAACTCATAATTACTACAATTAATATAAAAACTACCAGTTAATCCGGAAATTATAATTGATGTCGTTCCCTAATAAAGCACTCAGATTAATAAAGAGTAATATTAGAATAATTAAATACGTAACATAAGTAAATAATAATTTTAGTACATTGGAATAATTAAGTAGATAATAACGGGAATTAAACATTTAAAGGGAAATTACGCACTACAAAAATTAATTTACTTGTGAAATTTTTTTACTCTCGGATACGAGATGTTGAATAGTTAATTTTAACCGTCGATTTAATTCCATCACTCTTTCTCGACCCGTTTTTCTATTTTCGATACATATTTAAAGTGATTGCACATTTGCATCGATTCTCTTCGAAAAACTATGTGTTAGCGTTAAATCTTAAAAGATGAAAATTTACGGCCGGGGTCACCATATAGGCAAATATTAGAAATTTATTTTTAGGCTAAAAAGAATTGACTTGTAGGAATGGTATCTTTCGAGATACCAATAATTCTGTTCGTGTAAATCGATAAAATTAGATACACAGTTTATTGTCGCGCCAATTTTTCTGTATCATTACATTTCCACCCGACTTTCATTTATTCCTCTCGCGCGTCTCTCCTCGGATCGCGATGCGCGATACGCCGAGGAGCGTTATCGGTCTGGCATCGAGGGCCGAGTGCGTGTTTCTGTGTCTGTAGTGCACTGTGTCAGTGTTCCGGAGACTGCGCAGCATCCCGCGCGGATAAGCGGGGACCACGCAGCGCGCGGGCAGGGCCGCGGGGGTGAGAGGGGCGCGAATAGGGGAGGCACTTCGGTTTTTAATCCGTGGATGTGGAGACGCAAGTGGGGGATGACGTCCCCGCGGCCCTCGCCTGCCGCCGATACGATTCCGCACCCCGAAACCGCCGCCGTTCTCCTCCATCCCTTCTCACCCCGCTCGGGCTGCCTTCCGCCCCGCCGAGTCTTCTTCTCGCCCCGTCTCCGCCGGCAACCCCCTCCACCGTCGTCGATCCTCCCGCCACGTCGTCTGTCGTCCCGACGTCCTCTCTTCTGACACCCTCCGTGCTACTCGCCAGGCGGGGGTCGCTACCGGTCTCCTAGTGACTTTCGTCGTCGGGGGTCGCGTGACACGTGCGTGAGAAAGTAGTACCGGGTCCCGCTCCCGGTCACGGTCCCGATCTCGACACCGCCGACACCGACCGGTCTGCAAAGTTGGTCCCACACCGTCGTCGGCGACGCGACCGCGTGGAGAGATCGGCGAGAGATCGACGATCGCTATCCGGTGATCCAGTTGGTGATCCATCCCGACGTCGTGATCTCGCGCGGCAGGTCCGCGATCGACGATCTGCCGCGTCGGACGACCTCCTGGTGACATCTCCGAAAACCACGGAGTTACACGACGGAGGGACCCGCGAGAGAGATCGGAGATCGTGATACCCCGAACCCCGGTGTGATCTCATCGTCCATCGAGGCAGCTCCGGCGATCGTCTCGCGATTGTGCCGACAGCTGTCGCGGACCTCTCTCCCTCGAGGTGGGCTTCGCAAGTTTGGTGCGCGCGTCTCGCTTGAAATGGTTTCCGCCCCGGGGAAAACGGCGGATCCGGTGTCTTGTGGCATCCGTTAAAGATCGGGTATCCTGAAGTAGTTATCGAGACTTCGAGCGGTTCGCTCCGCGGAGAAACTCTACGCGGTCCCGCGATATTCGTCGTTAATAAGTGCAATCGCGGCGATCGGAGATATGATCCACCACGGGCAACGCCGACAGTCAGTATTTGATCGAATTACCGCCGCTTTACAGTTTCGTCATTAAAATTCGCTCTTCGGTCACGTAACCAGCTTTCCCCCCCCCCCCCTCTCCCCCATTGATATTAAAACGATTTCGCAAGTGTGATTCGTTCCTCTTCAGTCTTTATGAGCGGTTCGCGCGAAAGTTACGACAGTCCCGTAATCGGGAGTCGTTTTCTCGCATTGACGTTTGTCATTACGGTTTTTATCGTCGCATCGGCGAAAACGTTGCTTGGCATTTCGCCTTCTCCTCTTCGTCATCCATCCTATCGCGATCTATTTGACTAAATGTCTAAATGTCTATATATTTGTTAGTTGACATTTGATTAGTAGAGTGAGGAATCCATATATGATACAATTACGTTTTCTCTCTGGCGCACGCAAAGACGATGCATGACGCACGAACGGGGGAGGATATCTCGAAATCAGCTTCGCGGTGCCACATCATTAATTCAGTGCGATTTCTCTAAAATAAGGCATCCGCGGCCGGGTGGGTTATAAAAAGCCTTAGATCTAGGAAGCGAAGCGACGTTATAATTGGATCTGGTCCAACAGTTCCTCCATTTTAAACGATACCGACCGTTGAAAGAAGTCGAGGAAAGGGGAAGACGGCATAATCGCGTGAAGCAACATTTGAGGGAACTGTCGTGGAATTGGATCTTCTTTGTGGGAATGCGATCGCGGCAAGGAAAAGATACGGGGAAAAAAGGGGTTC